ATATATATATATATATATATATATATATATTTGTACAAATGCGTGTAAGCGCATGAAGATAATTACGAAGTGAATGTTAAATAACTGAGGTAGCAACTGGGGTTAGCCCACCTTTTTCTGCTGCCTTTGCTTCTGTGACTTCTGGCGCTTCCCGTTCCTTTTCTGTTGTGTCTTCTTTCAGTCTGTGCTCGTTGTATAGATCTCCATAAACCCCCTATAACAAAAAGGACCAATAGCAGAACATATCATCATATTAACAAGGCACAAGGCATTCATGCACACAGAATGCCTATTGGTGTAGGGGAAGCAGCCGTGGCACAATAACAACTTCCAAAGCACTACCGGCAGCAGCAGCAGCAACCAACGCATCAGCAGCAGCAGCACGAGGGATGACAGCACAGGAAAAGCAGCTGAATTATTAGGACCTGGTGCAGTCTCTTGAGGAGCTCATCTTCAATGACATCTTCGATGTGTGCTGCAACAAGGGCTTTCTTTTCTCGTGCTGCTTCCCTTCTTTCTGTTTTCTTCTTTACGCCCTCCAATCTCTCCCTACGCACAAAGCGCAGCAAAACAAATCAAAAGATGCAGTGTAACAGAGCAACAATAAGCTGCGGCGGAGGTTTTTCCTCCTGCTGCGGCAAAGATGCTGCCGGTCTCGCCCCTGGTACTCGTGCGCTGCTGGTGCTGCTGTTGTTGCATTGCCTTACTTGGGTTTGAGTTCGAGCCTGCGCATTCTGTCGATCATCTGTTTCAGTTTAATGGTTCTTCTTTTGCAGCGTTCGATTTGGTGTTGGGGATAAACATTTTTCATGTGGAGATCAATTGTTTTCTTAGCCTCTGTTATATTTCTTGAGAGTTTTATCCTCTCCCACAGACTGCTAGGCAGGTGAGCCCGTTCAACAGTCTTTAAACAAAGAAACAGCTTTCCTTGTTCTTCGAGAACCGTGCCATAATTGCTGTTTGCTAGGGGGCAACTGACGCGGTTACATTTGCCTGTCACGTTATACAGGTTGCTGCACATATCCTCTTTGTCCGTCTTCCGCTTGAAAGAACAGAAGTGTTTGTTTATCACATTCCAAATCAACTCGTCGTTATGCATTTTGCCAGTGGGCAGGGCAGCGCGGCGAACTCATGCCTGGGGAGACCCTTTAGATGGCAAATAGCTTCTAATTCAGGAGCCTAATCCTCCTATTTGGATGTTTACCCTCCAAAGTTAGATTTTAATGCGGAAATGTCTGGAAATGTCTGGGGCCCCCAAAGGGCAAGGAGGCCCCACCCCACGAAGCGGGTAAAGTCTTCTGCTTTGTAGCCACCGCAATATTGTGTGCTTCCTGTACCACTTCCTGCTTCTGAAAGAAAATCCACTCAAACACAACGAAGTGAACGTCGACTTCGCTTTGTCCTTAAGATCTGCAGCGATTGAACTGTCGATGCGTTCAACCGGAGCCGCCGGAACGCCGTAGTCCTGCTGATCCACTGGCTATCGCAACAATTCCGTAGGAGTAGTTTAATTAAAAAGTAGTGTTATGTTTCAATCGATTTCAAGGGAAAGTTGCTTGAAATGGTGAAGCTGAATCAGCGAGTGTACTTGTACCTAAACGGAAAGCAGAACCCCAGCAGCCCCGTTGTTCGTTTTGGTTTTTGGAGGTGTACGCTGTTTGAATTTAGAGTTTAACTGACCACCGTTCTATCATATTTTACCTATAAACTGTATTTTCAACCATTAAAGGAGTTGAAAACGCATTCGAAATTGCCAGACATGCAGAAAGCGGTCGTTGAGTCAGCTCGTGGGCGCATCCCTGTACAGCATGAAGGCAAGCCGAAATATCAAATATAAAGGGAATCAGGGGGAAATAGTCGGTGATAAAATGAGTGTTGAATCGAATGTGGACTCTAAATACAAGTTTATTCATAAGTGGTTCGTAATGTATGCAGGGCGTTTGCTGTACGAATGGGAGCAAGATTTATCCGACATTCACTTATACCTTTCTCCTCCTGCTCAAACAAAGGCAAAAGATATTCAAGTGAAAATACACCCAAATCGACTTCGAGTTGGCCTTATCGGGAAGCCTCCTTTATTTGACGTATGAAAGGCACACAGACAGCTATGTACCTATCTACAGCTGCTTGATGGTTAGCTTGAAAGTATATTCTTTATTCATTCCCTATCCCCTTATAGGAAAGGTGCATGTATATGTGCATATCAAGCAGAAAGCGCTTCTCAGTCCTATTTTGTTTATATTGTATATAGACTCTGTTGGCTTTTGGCCATTGTATCTCTTTGCTGCAGGAGGAGCTCTCATCAACTGTGGAGACGTCTTCGTCCTTTTGGATGTTGGGTAGGGAAATATGATCTTCGCAGACGATCTAGATTTAATATAAGAAGATCTGATGCGCTGCACCATCATGGGGCAATTTACACATCCGGGGCAATTTACACACCCTCTATGTACGTAGCAGGGGTAAATGAAAATACTTGATTCTCTTTATCCTACTTTTTCGCTGCAGAGGACGGGGAGCTGCACATACAGCTGGGGAAAATGCGTAAAGGCGAAGTGTGGAAATCGGCGCTCAGAGGTCACGCTGCCCTTAATCCTCTAGCCAAGGTAACTGAAATTAGTAGTTGAGGATTATATAAAATATCGAATTAGCGTATTTTTAGTTATGCAGTTTAATGGTATTGCAGTGCTGTTAGGACGCTTTTTTTACGAATATGTATACCGCTTGTTATTGCACTTCTTGTGGCTTTTTTTCATATCGCTTATTGGGTTCCTCCACTTGTCATTCCTTCCTAGTATATATTTGGAGTTTGGCGTATTTAAGTGGTTCAGCCACCAGTTGCTGAACACCAGCTGTTTTCATTCCTTCTCCTCTCCATTCGATAGAGAATTATGTGTCGTGCTGCTCTTTAGGAGGAAGTTCAGAAGAAATTAATGTTGGAACGGTTTGGGGAGGAGGTGCGTTTGTTTAATGTTTAGGCGGTGTGTTCGTCTTCCCTTAATGCTTCAATCGATTTCTTTTTATTTACAATACTTTTGTTTCAATTATATGTGATATATCTAAGGAAGAAATATTGCTATTTGTGGGTGTGTGCATTTTTTGGGTTTCTGTTTCGCAGCACCCTGGTTTCGATTTCTCGAATGCCACATTTTCCGGTGAGGCGTTTTATTTAGGATGTTCATTCACCAGAGTGAATTCATCGGACTTGTTTCGCCTATTGTATTTGTTTACTCTTTTGGGCTTCCATTTTTCATAGGGCACTTTACTACCAGTTGTATCTTGTGGCATTTTTTCATATCGGCTATTGTGCTCCTCAAGCCTCGATGCGCTTATCTGTTCCCTTTGCATCCGTTTGTCTCCTCATGTTCGTGTTTGCTGCCGAGCTGCCTCATAGCCTGCAGTCTTTTTGCACTTGTAACACATTGACTCGTTCTCTATTCCATCCCTCCGATGTTCTTGGCTGTGTGTTCTTGTCATCCTCTGCTTCTTTCCTATACACCTGCTAGTTGATTTCTGTACACTTTCTGGTGCCGCAGGCTCAGCGCCCGATCCCCGTAAATTTTTGGGGGGCATTTCGTACAAGTGATTCGTCGAAATTCCGATATTAATGGAAATAATATATTTTATATATTGTGCAGCATATGCTCGCACGTCTAATGTTTGTCCAGTGTAGAGGATGGGCACCTCTGTGCATTACACTATCAACTCTTTTGGCCGATTATTTTGCATGCATTGTTACGACTTGACGCAAACAAACCAGGTGGCTGTTTCTTGCTTTAATTTAATACTTAAGAGATAGTAGCTGAAAATTTCTGTTCCTTTACTTGGCACATTCACGGCTGTAGCGTTTGCTTCTACTCGTCCAATGCATGTACGTCTCAATGTATGGGTTGAGAGTATTCTGCGCACACTAAAGAGTACTATTTACTCTACACTTGCCGAGACTGCGATCACTTCGCGGGTGTATGCGCACCATGTGCAGGCATAAACATAGCTCTTGTGTTGTTCCTATTTTACGACTTTTTCAGTTCCGAAGCGGCGACTACTACGTAATGACGAGTTTGTCCACTGCTCTCTTTGCATATGCGGCAGCAACGGACCATTTATTATCGTCATTATTACTGAAACAGTCATAATAATAACAATAGAGTTTGAGTTGTTTCGGGCGCCACTGAACCCCCCATAGCAACATAGAGCTGTAGATACACAGCAATTCTAGCGCCGCTTCTTCTATTGTACTGTAGTATTTCAGCTCCAGTTTTAATTTTGGTTTCAATCTTAGTTCTTGTAACCCCGTGACTTTCTCCGACCTCTGGCCATTTCGAACTTCCTTCCTTTTGAGCGTACGTAGGGCTTCGTGTGCGAATGCGGCGTACCTGTAAACAAAGACGAAATTTAAATACAAATAGTGCATTGTACCTCCTAACGTGCACTTCGGAGCATAATAAATGGATGGGAGTATGCAACATGTACCAAATAACTACATACGCACTAACACCCATCACACAGATTAACTGTAGTATATTACAACACGACAAATCGGCATTGCAGCAGCAACGAACTGAACAGCAGGTAGCGTCCCTTCGAGAGGATATGCTGCTTGAACATGCAATAAACGCAGCGGCTAGCTTCAAGCGCAAGCAGTACCAAGATCCGCAGCAGCACGGCTACGAAGCAGAAGAGGGTAGGGGAAGAAGCAAAGGCAACTGCCCCACAACCCGAAGTAGACACACCTGGAGCCGGTCCGAAGTGCTTGTCTGCTTCCCTCAAGATTGAGCCCCTAAGGAGAACACAGTTGGAGCCCTTGGGGGCCCGTAAGGCTAACTGATCGAATGTCAAGCACTCGCCACCCGCTGCAACAATTCTCTTGCGAGCCGTCTCGGAGAAGCGCAGCGCACAGACAGACATCTTAGGAATCTCCAGGGTGCGAGGATCGTCTGCATGCAACAGATACACACAAGCAAAAGAGCAATGCATGCCGGCAAGGAAACCAAAAGGATTCAGTAACAAAAGAAAAAGAAACAAACAACGCAAGAAACAAAGAAGTATCAATAAATACGCAACGAAATTTAGAAAAGCCTATGCGGACCACACAGCCACCAAAGACTCCCATATATATATATATATATATATA